GGTACTCAGGGCTTCTACAGTTTAAACTTCACCCATTGTCACTACTTTATACTGTATAATGCGTCAATCTTTCTTACTATCATCAGGCTTATTACTCACCTATTTTGGAAAACTTGCTTTCCATACATTACTGGTTCTTCTTCTTTTAAAGATACTTTAAACATTTGTTTATACGTACATGATGTTCTACTCAAGCTTTTGTCGCTGTTTTATGTATAACTTACTTTCCTTTCAAAGAATAACAAGCTAGTTTTCTATAGCAAATCATTTAAGTAATGAATATAAACTTGTTTGCTTTTGACATTTCTTGATGGTGCTTTGGCACACAAGCAACTCTCAACAAGAAAATAAAGTAGTAAAAGAATTTCCTTCTCATTTCAATTTTACAAATTTATTCTTTTGATTAAACCACCTTTCAGTGCCCAAACCATTCGAAACATTCTAGTTAGACTTGAGCCCTGATTTTTATCAACTTACAAGTTTATTGTCAGTATTTGGTACAGCAAACACCTCCGGTTATTATGAAACCATTCAAGACACCCAAAACTTATACTTTTGGAATATGAAACTATCTGTATATAATAACTGGTATCTACTTTTTTTAAGTGCCTAAAATCAATCACCTAACTCATATCTTCAAAAAATATTAACATGATTATCCAAAGTATACTTCCCTATATTTCATTTGAAGATGCCGAGTACAATAGTCGCACCTTCTGAGTTACTTGCAAGAGTAGAACAAACAGTTGAATCAAAGGAGATTGTAAATAAGGTCAACATCGTGAAAAATGACCCTCTCTGAATGGTATGCTGTCATGGATGCTACCCATAAAACAGCAATCCAGTTTGCAAGCTAACTCTGTGCAAGGTAGTGGATTCACTGACTAGCCAAGAAATACCTCAAACAACACAACTGAAATTAATTTTCAGACCATAAACCAAACTCTCTAACTGGATTCCAATCTAAAATTATGTATATTCTGTCTTGTTGAACAGGACTAAAAAATTGTTAATGCTAAAACTTATGGTGATACCCTGTTTTAGTTGCTATCTGTCCACCTACTGACTTTAATGAGTTCGATGAGTTCTATTAAAAGCTGTTGTTATTGTTATCAACAGCAAATACTCAAAGATACTCATTTAAACCATCAGTATCAAACATCTGTATGAGACTGCCATCATTTTGAAGTATTACTACGAATTCTCGCAATCTACTGATCTAAAAGGACCCCTAAATAGGAACAAGAAACATCCTACAGTGAAGTCTATTATTGTTCTAGTTGAAGGTAAAGTTATCAAATCTCTACTTAAGGGGGGAAAATATAGTTTGGCACTGACATTTATGCTTCGACCACTTACCATGTCAAGTTGAAAATAGGAACTACAACAGAAATAGTCAGTTAAATTCAGCATAAAGTCTCATTTGAAACCGAAGATAAAAGAATCAGATTTGAAATCATAATGAAAGTTCACAGTGGTATTATTCATCTTAACAGAGTGCTTGGAGCAAGTATAACATTTCTGAAGGCCTTCAGACATCGAGAACACTGGTCATAGAACTAGTGCAGAATCAAAATCTAAAACGACAAAGGGAGGTGATGTCTTCTAAGAGTCAATTAGCTTTGAAACTGGGATGTCATTGTAGATGAATATACTTATCTCTTTTTTCTAAAAGATTCATCTAATACGCGACTTCCATTTATAACAGATCAAACAGATTTCATTGAAGAGAACAACAATAACATGTCTCATTTGTTCACTCTAAAAGAAAGACCTAAAAGTGTTTGAAATGTGTTTAGCACCTTTCAGATGTAAAGTGACACTTTGCTTAACTTACTGCTACACTTATTAAAATGATACAAAACGGGTGTGAATAATTTGGCTGTTCTAATTATTTTGAGAGCCAAACGATTTTTTTAGACTAGTGGCTGATCTTATTATGTAAAGAGCTAACTTGGTACACAACAAATGACATTGTTTTTCGGAATGATGGAATTCACTGACTCCACACCAAAGGGCAGTTATACTGTGTAGGAGTTCTCTGTGTCCTGCTTCACTGTAGTTAGTTAGATATAGAGTTTGAAGCCAGAGGAATAAAGCGATATATCGTCACTCATAAATATCTATGAGACTTGACAGGTAAGTGAAAAGATTATCCAGCAACCGTTTTAAGCGCTGTATTCATAGTATCATATAAGAAAATAAAGTTATTTAATAGGGTTGTGGAATTGCAAAAACTAAACTGCCATTTGGTGTGCACTTATCAACCTATCACGGCGTGATTTGTGATACTAGCTAGAGTTGGATTAGAATAACATGACCACATGCAAATCAGTAATCCACAAGGTCATTGTCCGTCATTCTAAGCTTCTTGAATATGTTTGGGCTACCTGACAGAGGTTGGTCAGCTTTTATAAATCGGGGTTTTAAAACATTAGGCTACACCACTTAACAGTAATCCATTATATTCATTCTTTTACTTTGCTCACAATTTTGACCATCTGAAAAAAATCTATTCAATCCTTTATTTTCAAATTATGTCATTCTATTTAATTACTGTAATGCATTCATGCTGTAGATAAACTTCAGCTTTTATTCTCTTGTGAATAGCCGTAACTGGAACCAATAAGCTTGGTTCAGTGATATGCGTTGTTGCATCTGTCTCTTTGTATCATTTACGTACACTAATTATCTTTTCAAAACTGCTAAACTAATTAAGTCACTTATACGTTTGCATGAGAAACAATATGATCATGAATTACAGATGTTCGTAGCGAAAATAAATTTTTCGATACTGTAAATGTATCAAATTATTCCTAAATAATTAAGCAGTATTTATTTGAAACTTTTTTCTACTTTTGCATTGCCTTGTTCGATTTATTCTATATTTTATTGGTAACTGTCTTCAACGATGTACAGTAGACCAGATTTTCAACAGTCATTTTTCTGCCATTAATGTTTGTCCTAACGACGGTTGTGGTATCTGACGTTTATGACCTCTTGAAAGGTTTTCATCCAATGCCATTTTTAGAAGGCTCTACAGTTTGGTTTCATGCTGGTTTATACTTGTCAGCGAGATTTGTCATTCCAAACACCATGATTCCTGTTAATCGTCGCTTAATTTAATTAAAACTACGGTATAGCCACTTAGGAGGCAACTGTGGAGTTGACTGGAATATATTTTTGAACTTAAGCTACGCTTTCAGGTTATCTTAAATCAAATCGCGTGAGCTAGGGAGCATCATAATGTTAATCACTTGATATTCTGAATAAAGTATTCACTTCTTTTAGGAAGTTTCATAAACATGAAACAAATATATAATGGACTCCCAAGAGAATCATATTTATCCGGAATTAAGTATTTGCAGTATTTTTCCAGTTACTTACATCCTCCATTTTATTGTACCAGTTGGTAGTCTACCTAATGATGAATAAAGCCAGAATTATTATGTTATTCGCCTGCTAGTAGCTACCTCAGCACACTATGAAGTAGATTTCTTTCGATATAATACTCGTTTGCTGGATGCAGCTGTACGTTAAAGTGATATTATCATTGAAACCCAAATGTAACACCCATCTCCCTGGAAGTCAGAGTTATATCTACTGTAAACCTGTTTAATAATAGAAATTACCTATTTTCGGTTGCCAGTTATTATCTATTCTTAACTTAAGACTTAAATTCAGACGTATTTCTTACTGGCTGCCTCATTTGTTAGAATTAGTTGAATCACTGCTTCCACTCTTATTCCAGTTCAGATAGTCCATTATCATTAAATTCACTACAACAAGAAAGCACACGTTCTTAATGACAAACAGTATAATGTGAACTCTGGTACACAGGAATCTTGTGCAAACGGTTTGACAGTAATTTTTAAGATAGAACTGATTTTACTCATCCAACCTCTTTTAGGAAAATGTACCAAATATTTCCGTTGATATGATTTTGAAATCGTCAAGAAACGTGGTCGCATTACTTGAGATGGACATTTTGAGAATCGAGTTACCATCTTTAGCATAAGTGCATTCATTCTGAATTCGTATGAAGAATGATGTGCATGAAATCCTTGAAAGCTCCCTCAAAAACAAAATCCGTTGAAAGAAAACCTAAATCATGGCGGAGAAAAATTGAATTCAATACTAAAAACATCGTTAACTACTTGGTCATTTGTGAAAGTGCTACAATATATAGAGGACACAGATAGAAGCTAACTGTAATTCCAGTACATAAAGTCTATAGGAGATAATGATAAACTAGTCTTTTTTTATTTACTTACCTACTTACTAACTTGCTTACTTACTTACTTACTTACCTACTTACTTACCTACCTACTTACTCACTTACTTACTTACCTGCCTACTTACTTACTTACCTACTCACTTACTTACTTACTTTAAGAAGTCTATTGTCTTGTAAGAATCAAACCTACCTCATTTTCTTACACTCATTGCTGCTTGATAACCTTGTTTCGTTGAAGAATCCGCTAACCGTTCAAAACATCTATTCAGGACCTGAAAGTATGCAGAACTTCAAATATTGTCAGGCAAAAATCAGTTTTATATCAAATTGGCCACTTAAAATCATTCCTGTGATAGATTATGATCTATTTGAGAATTTTAATTTGAGCATAAATAAATATCTATCTTGAAGAGACAAGAGTGATGTACATATCTTTGACAACTAAAAATTCCAACAAAAATCATCAACTCAACGTATACTTTTAAAATGAAAGTCACAAAGTATTATAAACGGGTAGACTAAACATACTCCGCATAAATATACAAAGATCAGGTAAAAGGAAAAGTAGAAACACTGAAAAGCAACATATAATCTCACTAAATACTCCTTCGTAAACTGACTCAAACCAAGTCTATTTTATCACAAAAGATGTGATTTTCATACTCCGTTTAGTGAGTACACTTTTTTCTCAGATTTATGTAACTATTTTTTTGATGATAATGAGTATAATATAAGCTGTAAAAGTAGAATATTTTCTCATGATCTATCTCAAATATTTTTTTTGACGGATATTTAAAATTTCTTTCTTAATTTTTTGATAGTCTTCTTTTATTGTACTGTATGACTTCAACTGAGCAGCATGATCTATGTTCTTACATTTTTTTTGATCATCTATAACGTTACTACTATCATCGGTTTCATAAGCTTCCGAAAATAAGTTAAATGAAACATGCTTATTCAACCAGTCGATCGTATTCTCAAATTTTTGTTCAATATCACTAGCAATATTAGTTGAAATACTTTTAGTATAATTTGTATTGTTGCATAATTCACACTTATTTTTATCAATTATATCTCGAAGATTATTGATTAAACATTGTTCACATTCTTTTGATTGTGCCACTTTTACTAAGTCAATATATTTTGGTGTCAATCGGTGAATTAATGGACCAATTTGTTCATTAACTTGACAGATGAAACGATTGTGTACAATACTTTGATACCAAACTGGATATGTTGGCCATTTACCATTGGTATTTTGGCATAATGCCCAATCACTTAGATTTAAATACACAAAAACCAATACATCATCCCAAGATTGTTTAGCATTACTTAGTTGATAATGAACTAGTGCACGCGTCATGTAAAACTCTGAGTTAAATGGCGCAAGTTGAATACAACGATTCAAAAAGGTCAGCGCACTCAGGCAATCATTTTGCTTTATTCTAATCTTACTTAAATTATAACACGTTAAACAGATTCTTTGATTGATTGATTTAAGACTTTCTGGAAACATCATGGTATTATTGCAGATACATTGGTTTGAATTACTGAATAACTTATTGATGATTGATTTGGCATTTTCATATTCCTTAAGTGAATCTTCATAATTATGCATTTGATACTGACAATCACCAAACAAAATTAATAATCGATAATTTGTTGGATCCACCTTTAGAAGTTGACAAGTTAATGCATTCGACTCTTGATAATTTCCATCTTTAAATAATTTTATTGCATAACAACTCATTGTCAAAAATAATTGATTTTTACCCGATTGATACAGTGATTGATACTGATCAGATAAATTGTTTTGAGCACTGATATTTAATGTGTCCAATCTGTGCATGCCTTGAAGAATAGAATCAACCGATTCACTTAATCGATCCAGTTTTCTTAATATCGCCCCTTTATCAAAATATAATGATGTATTTTCTGGTTGAGCATAAATTGCCACATTAATAGACTGTAAAGCATCTAAAAAACGATATTTCAGCATTGACATAATCGCTTCCTCTTGTTTACCAGAGGATAAATTTTCTAGCTGATTTAGTAGACTAAAGCTTTTTGAATGAGCTGGGCAGTAGTGTACTGCTTTTTTAAGATCATAATAGGCTTGAGTTATTGATTGGCCGGATTGTTTGAGTAAGATTTTAGCTTTTGCGAAGAGTAGATCTGGCAACTCTTAAGATAAGAAAGTTGAACTCAAACTTTAATTTCGACACTAAATACATGTACTAAAATTGAAGTAACAAAAGTAACCTCCAAGCAAAGAGCAACTGTGAACTATCAAAACACTTTTACCTCTAGAGCTGGGTTATGTTGAAAGTAGGCGGAAGTCACATTCGTCAAAACTGATGTTATTAGCGGTAAACGTACTATGTAGCGATTAGACAGTTACTGCTCAGACTGTTCTTCAGATTTATGCAACAAGTCTAAACATGACTTGTACGAGATTCTATTCGCACAAACTGTAACATCATCAAGGATATTCTGTTAAGTTTGTAGGCATAAAGCTGAATAAGAAACTTGGGGTTAAATAATCTTGTCAATCTTCCTTGACAGCCAGTACCAACTAAAAACAATTCAAAACACGAACTTTGATCTATGCATAGTTTTTGGATAAAAACCTAGAAGATACAGCATTCTAAATCATGCACAGTCACTTATGAAGTAAGTGATTCATCGTAAACTCTCTTGACTAACAAATAGGACTATCAAAACCTAAGGAGTGTAAGCTCACTAAGTAACTCGAAATGATTTAACATACGAGTGAAACAATAAATTGACTAAAAGATTTAATAACTGCTGAACCCATCGAAAAGCAATGTAGAAATACCCGTGCAAATAGCTAACATGTAATAATGGTTGATAAGTTGAGTCACCAAACAAGCAATATCAAGTACTGTTTTGATAACAGTTCATATAGTTTGAGAAATGGTCAGTTTTCATAACTTAGTGTCTTACCAGATACCATTCTGGTATATGAAGCAAAGAATTCTAGGTTGGAGTTTGAGTAGGAACACCGATACAACGTTAGATCCAGGTAAGTAGTCAGAAACAGGGCAATATGCTAATACCTGATTCCACTGACAGTTGCCATTGAGTATTCTCCTGCCCAAGTAACTTTTGAATCACACAGAAAGAAATATTTTATCAGAAACTTGAAGAAAATAATTCAAGTAAGTTCGTACACATCGATAAGTATACCACCAATCTGATAAGGAAAACTTCACTATTGTCGCTTAACTCAAAAGACATACAAAAGTTATAAACTTAACACATTACATATATATATGTATATTGCCGTTAAAAATGTTTGTCTTTTGAACTTCAAGTTCAAGGAGGATAATGCAGCAGTTATCCTTAGGAGGCGACTATCAGGATCTATAAACAGAACACTTTTTGCTGACGATCTTGGGATTAAATTCTGCTGTCATAAACTAATTCATTAGTACGCGAAGGATAAGTTGAAGTTCTGGGCCAACTTAATGTGTGTATCTGTTTACTTACTCTTGTGAAGCAGAGTGTATCAACCGTACCTAGTGACTGACTGCGAAACCTGCTTATGAACACTTTCCAGCTTGGCTAACAAAGGCACAACGGAAATAGATCTTTACCTCTGTGTTGGAATGCAGCATCAATTGTGCTACCAAGATATTCGATAGATGATGAAAGCATGATGAAAGTTCTACTGCTGTCAGAAGTACAAAGTAGAGAAATTACTGCTAGTTATAAAAACCTGTATCAAAATCTATAATATTAGATAATTCTCGTTAACCGCCGACTGTATCATGCCAAACAATCAATAAAGTCATCATATATTAGCAATTAAAAACCACAAAACAAATGTAACAGTCTTATTACTATATAAATTTTTAACGTTGCCTGATGACAGAAGACCTACCAACCTCAAATTAAGCGATACATTTATCAATTATGAGAGCTTGAACTGTTGGGAAAATTTGGCAAGTGAGGGAACCATTTTTTCCGAAATCCTCATTAAAAACAGCGATCAAACTATCAAAGGATATTTTTCTTCTTAAAACAAATTTCTTTATCAGGCTATACTTTCATCTTCTGACAACTAGCTCAGTGTCATGAGACTATTGTTACAGAGCAGTCGTGGAAAATAATTCTTTTCATGACAAGGATACTAGCATACTAAAGTCCTTTAGTTTACATGCATATTATTGTTCTATTATTTGTTCTTTGGGTTTCTAGTGAAATATAGGGCTTCAGTTGCACGTCGCCATTTCATTCTCTTCTTTGCAGTCTTCTTAACTTGGATCCAAGACTTCCCACAAGCTTTCATTTATTCCTCATATGATTTCCCCCATGTCACCCTCGTCTCGGATGCCCAACTCGTCGTTTCCACTTTGAATTCCACTTGACAGCCTGGCACGTGATATCCCAAAGGGTCTTTTAAGTGTATGCCCAAACCATCTCCAATTTCTTCTGCATATTCGTTGGGTGATAGGTCCTTGGTTGGTTCGTTGCCAACCAGAGCTCCTTGTTGCTTATTCGTTCTGACCATCTGATGTTCAGTATAGAGCGTAGATGGCAGATGTTGACGTATGCCTGCAGTTTGTTGGAGATGCTTTTCATAACGCGCCAAGTCTCTGTTGCATGCATATCATTTTATCAATATCGGTCCAAAATACTTAGTAATAATGCTAGGTTGAAATCTATTTAGCGGCCAAATCGCCTGGTCAGTATTCCATATCCTGATAGCTTACTGAGTCCCAACTACTTTGTATGCATGGGTTTTATTCCCTGCAAGAATCCAATAAAAAGGTGGCCTAAAGTGACTTTTTCGCTTAAAAATTCAACGTTGTGTAGCAATCGAACTGAGAGAGAGACTCAAGTATCAATATTAATGCATAACAGGAAATGAAGACACTATAATGATAATAAAATTTTTCACGCCTCCAATGAGGTATATCAACCAGAGTGAAGAATTTTTCCCCTGTGTAGGTTTCTCACTGGATGAGTGAAATTAGTCTAGCAGATAGTACATACTATAGTTTATTCATGTACCTAAGTGTACCTAAGTGAAACAATAGGAACATTTCACTGGTTTTTAATTATGATGAAAAAAAGCGTATGAACATGAGTGAGAATCAAACTGACAAACATTATGTAACTATAAGAACCAGTTAAAAAACTGATAGTTGCTTACACTTGTTCATCACGAAATTTTAATGTTCCCAGGGTTTTATTTTATTTTTTCCTAAAACAACAGTTTGATTTGAGAAACTGCATTCTTATTTGACAATTTTAAAAAGTTTGGATTCAACTAATGTGTCATAAAGTCCTATTTGTTTTACAACGATCTAAAGTGAAGACTGATATTCACCACTCAAAGTATATATATATATATATATATATATATATATATTATATATATATATATATATATATATATATACATATATTCAGAGAAGAAAGAAGGAGACAGGGAGAATATACAGTCTATTAAGGGAGCGTAACGCGTTCACTTAATCCTCCTTTCAGTAGAATGGAAATTTTTTACTTTAAAACAAATTAGATAATTAAAAACAGGAAGCTATCAGTTGACAAAAAAGGACTATAAACCTCTCATGACATTTAGCAACGACTGATTATGAAATTTTAAAAATACATGGTAAGTAAGCATATGGTTATCATGGAGGGGGCATACAATAAATCCTAATAAATCACTATTTTGAACTACAATGATAAATGATGTCTGTGAGTTATGAGCGTCAAGAAATTGCAGTGGAATTAGATTTGATTTGGACTGCATAGTAGATATATCAATCATATTATTGAACATTATCTATCTTGTTATCGGAAATGACTACATAAATGTGCATGATAGATATGAGATTTCATTTTGGTAACCTACATGCCAGTGCACCCACTGCTTATTGTTAAATCGTGAACCGTATCCTAGCTTAATGTATAAATACTGAACGTCGTTGTCTTAAAAATATTCCACTTCTTTAACAGACGCAAAATTCGGGTAAAAATATCCCAGAAAGTTCATTCTGAACATTTCTTCTGATAAACGACTTTATCTACTACTCAGCTAACCTCCTTAAACTGATTTTTTTCTCAAACGTAACTAGCATTTTGGAAATGATGAAAACAAAACTATCAAACTTTTGTGTTTAATTCGTAGTAGTCTTTTAACATAACTTAAGTCTTAATAATTTTACCACAAATATACAGCTCTTGCTAAGTTTAAAGCATATCCAATGTTTCATCTACCAATCGCTCTTTGTTTCAGCTGAAATCTGCTCAACTAATCGACAATATAATGCCCGTTTAAACTTGTGAATTAAATGGTATATGCATATATATATATATATATATATATATATATATATATATATATATATATATATATATAGCGATCTCAGTAAAAATGATGAAAGTAAAAGGTAAAATAGAATCACTTTGTAGTATGACCTTACACTCTACAAACGATAAGTGAATATCAGAAACCATCGAATCCCTATGAAGGAAATCGGGGGATATAGTTCATATGTAGAATGAGCTTTCTTCAAGCAGGTTACCATCAGTATATAAAGAATCATTAAGATACTCACAGAAGAAAATTTTATTCAATGAGCTGCCTACAGCAAGACAAATAGAACAGAAATATAACTGGAATGTAATTTCATTTCAGCCCATTTATTGTAAATAACAAAATTCATGATGATGTGTTGACTTCAAAAAATGTTTACGTAATCCATTGTGGTTCCTTTCACCTAATCACAATTGGAAACTATACTTCTATCAAAACTTTATTCCTAATCAAATAAATGTGTTCATGAACTGTAAATTGAGGTTCATTGTACTTTGAATTAGTTATGGTAACAATGCACAACAATCAAAGTTATTTATGAAGAATATCTAGGCAAAATAATTCTCTAAAAGTGATGTACACCTAGACACATACCTAGACATACATAAGAGCAAACGCACACTTACGCGGTAAATTCAATCGTGTTATTTGAAAAGAATTTTCTTTAAATATTTCATCTCGAACTCTGCTATTTTCTTTTTCTAAAGTATTTACACATTTTGTTATTAAGTCAATACAATCATTATCGCGTTTCATTGATTCATACACTTTTAATACATCCATCAATGTGATTAGTATTCCTGGAGTAACAGATTTGTCAGTAATCAAATCTTTCATTTGAGCATATTGATCAATAAAACTTTTACCTATTTCAAATTGTTTCAGTGCTTCTTCAAATTTTTCTTCTGTAAATAAACTCCTTCCATAAATTATATGAAGTTGACCAGTCTTCAGTAAGACATTTATATATTCTGTATGACTTAGGCATGTTGACATGGAGGATGAAGAATCTGAATCAGTGGTAGTAATACTTTGATTCATTGATTCAAGGTCTGAAGATTGTGAACTCAGAGATAAAGCATGATGTAGGTCGGTAATGGCATGTTGATAGTCTTGACGCTACAGTAAACCGATCAATGTAGGAAAACAGATAATTAGGCAATGAAATTTGCATAGGATCATAGTAAAAATAATAAATGTAAAACTATTTGGAACACTAATTAATATTAAAAGATGAATAGTGTGATCGATGATTTAAAGGCATAAATTATTACCTTGACGGTGATACTACTAAGATTATTGACTTGACATCATACCACTTTATTGTTTTATGGATTAGGTGCGGAATAAGCCCTGAATAAAATGTACTGAACTCCACAGAATGTATACATCTAGATTTTTATTTTGGCTAATAATGATGGCATAATCTTTCATCTGTTGATTTTAAAACTACGTGAGGTAAGAAAACAAACTGAGTAATCGTGTGATGAACAATCCATACTTTAGATTATCAAGACAGAATGTGTTATTTAAGTTAACCAATAACATCTTTAAGAATGAATGACTATGTTTCAAAAAATTCTCAAATTGTGTCATTACTTTTATATGAATTCTAAGCAACTTTAAACTAAATAAATACAATAAAATAATAATTGATCTTAACTTTTCAACTAATATTTTAATAAATATCAAGTTAGTATCCAATAATTTTTTGTTGCGTTTAGTGTTGGACAACCATTCTGCTCTCTAGTATGATCAACAAACCGATTTTCTGTATAACAAACATCGTTTGCAGATTACAGTCAATTACTCATTTGTGTTGTTAAATATGTTCATGTTTTTTGCATCTTACAGTCTAATATTATTTTTCTTGATGCAATTCACTAATACTGACGTAATTTTATTAGTAAACATTTACACCAGGTTTCAATACAACTGTACAGCTTCTGGAGATGATGTCACCGAAAGATACTTTGTTAACTGAAATCACTCCCTATAAATGACTCAATTAGATCACATGTAATAAGTTAGCTGATTGTATAGTACGACAAAATAATCGGTATTCCACTTCGTAAATACGTTTAAGTAACTACAATAGAAAAAGTGGTCATCATCTATATTGATGAATGAGTGTTAGGTGGATCACTGTGACTCAGATAGGACAACCACGGATGTTGGTTCTTTTCACTGATATTTTACCTGATACAAGAAAAGATTTTTTAAATGTATGAATTCATATTGTTGACATCTCAAAAATACCCGACAATACCAAACAGCTATTAATTACATCACCCACTGAAAATAAATGAAAATAACATTGATATAAAAAGATATGACAGAAGTATCTGCCGAATTTCATTGTATCACATAGTATTTTTATCGAAATAGTACCTTCCAGAAATTCCTTCCAAATGCCAACTTCTGAAACTTATTCTTCTGCATTACAAGTTAATATTTAAGCGTATAACTCATTTGACACAAAAGTATAAATTCACCAGAGGAGAACTGACTGCTTAATACAGTAGACAATTTTCTACCAGTGTATCTGTACGCATTCCAATGATAATACTAAGTACGTTATTTCTAAACTCATTTGACATGTATAAACGATTTTAAGAACAGAAATGTAAATATTCTACGAAGCCAATCGTTGATTAACTGCATGTAATGATCCTCTACAAAGGTGTCTAAAACTCATTAGATATGCATTTCATATTCTACAAATTAAGCTATGCTTCTATTCCATGTTTTGATTATTATATAATAAGTAAACAGAAAAGCGTTCAAGCTTGATTAACTACTTTCAAATCAGTTTTCAAACTTTCCAGTAATCCTGCTATTATGTATCTGTAAGTGAACCTTAGTCTTTATTCAATTATTGGATCTTAAAATATTCTCTTCATGTAACTGCAGATAAAATTGTTCAGTATGAAAATTTTCCTAAAGTCTATGGTACCAAAATATGACATTTTTATGATGAATGATGTAATTAGGGATTTTACAAATAATAAACTTAATGACTGTAAATTAAATAGATAAAAAATAAAGATGCGTATGATAATTTTAAAAATACATGACATTATGCGCACGCAAACACAGATGCAACATTCTAATACATAAAACACAATCTAAATAACAACCACGTTGTAGCTTAAAAGCTCTCGAAGCTTACTTGCAGAACAACACTAAACGTGCAATTTTAAAAAATCTTTCATATTATACGCCTATGCATTAATTCTAAAGAAAAACCACAGAAAGTATATCCACTGAGAAACACAGTAGTAGCTCCAAATGTGGCAAATAAGGGATATTTTTCAGACCAGATATCACCCCTAGAGAAACAGATCCCGAAAAAAAAATTCTTTCTAGAACAAAATGTTAAATATTGTGCACAGTACACAAAACTGTACGCAAAAAATGTAGTCCGAAGTTTCACTCGATTTCAGTCAAATGGATAATTTTGAAATACAGCCAGAAATTTTCTTTTTATTTAATATTTGAAGACACGTTGCATAGAGTTTTATCGGCACCACAGCTATAGTAGATAATAAGCTCGTATCCAAATTCTCTATAAATATCCCAACCTGAGCATCTGGAAGTATAGTATGCCATTCTGAGACAATGTTTATTGGTCAGTAACGCGCGAGTGAGCAATACATGTATAAATGAATTCAATGCTCATCTCAACATTTTTCCATCTATAAGTTATAGTACTAATCAGTAGTCTAACCTAGTCCGACAAACTATTACACTATCATCTTTTGACGTAATTACTGCAACATTCCACCAAAAAAGTTATAAATCCTACAGAAAATATTGCAAATCCTAAAATGCACAATACATTATCAGTTGGGTCAGATCTGAATCAAACATACTCTGTCTCCGAATTCGTCATTATCAACAGAAAAGTAACTTACCTTGGCATAAATTTCAGCTCGTTGAATGTGAAACTTTGCACTGTTTGGTGCTAATTTTATGCATTGATCAATATGGTGCATTGCTTTATCCATGTCATTATTAATTATAGCCATCTCCACACATCTGTGATGTTTTCGGATGGTTGTTGCAAAGTACTGCGCAGTTGTTAACTTAAAATAGGAAGTCACATATTTTTGCGCTAAATTACGAATTCTAGTTGGATTATTCACTGGAAGTGCATGTACAATATCACCGACAACTTTCAACGCCGTTCTACTCTCTATTATTGAAATAAAAGTAAATACCAATTAGGTAGATGAACTCAGAAAGTTACCATTAATCGCTGTATTGTGTCCCAACTGTTCATAAAGTGGATTTCCTGGACGATTTTCAACATCAATGAAAATTACTTTATCCTCAAGCTCGTTAACTATCTCATCCATAGAAATTTGAAATCCAAGTCAAAAAAGAACATAGAGTGTTTGTTGAAACAACCTAGAATGCACAATAGGAAATTCGTAGTGTAATATATTCTGATCTACAGTATTGTGAATAGGAGGATATAAGACATAGAATGACCAACCCAATACGGTGCTGCTTGTTGAAATCACACCACCCCAGTTTTATCTATATGAAACATGGTACGTCAAAAGTCATATGAGTGATGAAAACCAGAGATTTGTAAATCATTTCGCTGCATCTCATAACCTCAGTCACATTATTTTCTTCCCCTCTTCCTTAGGGTTCCTAATCACTCTTCTCTTTCTGGCTTCCATTATTGTTCCTCTTCCACCCCTAGCTGACCAACTAGAAAATGTAACAGACTAAACGTATATGCCCCACATAGCTGCAGTCTTGCCCTGCAGACATGATTTAATGCCTTTGGTAGGTCAAGGTTAAAATATGAGTCATCAAAAAGCTTGACCAACCAGTGACCAGATGAATTGAAGCGTGCATAGCTGATTAGGCGGCTGACATGTTGAAACACAGGGAATTGCACTTCTCTCATTCATTCGATAGGTAGAAAAAATTGTCAGCACCCAAATGAAGGACGAAACTTGACTACCAAGGAAAACTTGTGCCCGAAATGATGGAACACTGGGTCGTAAATCACAAGCTGTTCGCCCTAATACCAAAATCAGACTGGTTCTCCTTCTAGTCATATGGCTCCTGATCTGTTTTAGTTAAAAATGTCACTCAATATTCAGTTGAAAACCCGATTCATCACAGTTTGCCTTTACTGTATGTAAAAAAGTCTCACAAACCGAAACATAATAGGCGGAGATAACGCAAAAATTAGGCTTCATTCAAATATGCATGGATAGTTAGGCTACAGAAAAGTAAGTTACCGGCATGCCTATGTGTGGGCAATTGGTCCGAATTTCGCCACTTATATATATATATATATATATCCCCAAAGTTGGACGGTATAGTTTGAAAGTTTACTGAAGGAACAATTATATTACTCATATTTTACCTCCACAGCTTCCTGTAGCTTTCGTAAGTAATGATATTTTAAACCGAAATTACTCCGGGGTCTACTCAACGGCTTAGTGACCAAGTATTATTTCAGCCTATCTGGGAAACCACCCTCAAATGTTTCAGGAAACTACCCTGAAAATGCAATGACACATAAATTCCCTTGCCTTGTTACTCGTAAACAGGTAAACCTAAGTTTTTGTTAATTCCAGAATAGTTTCTATTTGAACCTATAATACTGAGAAGTCAGTAGTGATATCTATCTAAAAATCATTGACAGAGAGTTGAAAACGGTCCTAGAAAACAAACCTGTCGACTAATGAAAGAGAAAAGCGATAAAATTTGCATCAAACTCAATAAAATAATGATCATGTTTTGCTACAAAATAAAATATTATGGTGATTTTGTAATCGTCATAGTAATCCATGTAACCTGATAATTTATGTCAAGATTGAACTGTCTGTCTGTTTTTACCAGAATGCTTCAACATATTATTATTTCGTCACACCGACTCTCGTTAATAGTGTGTTCTTCATTCAAGATATAATAAAACACGTGGGGTTAACATTTTGTCATCTCAAATGAAATACAACAGAAGAATAATCAGCCTGAAACAAGAATGAAAAGCCACCATACTAAGGTGATGGTTCTGTTAACTTTTACCCAAAACTTGAATAAACCACAGACACTGTTTATCCATTTTCTAATAGAAAAGAAGTAATACTGCATGAAATGAGCAGTGATGTTGGCTGTTGAATGAAAACGTTTGATTTAAGAAAGCAGACTCACGTGGAATAGAGTTGCTCGTTTTCAAGACTGATTGAAGAAAATATTTGCTAAATGCACTGTAGTAACACAAAGTGACGTCAGGACAAAATATCGCCTATGTAAATTTGAAATCTGACTCGGTGACCACTAGTAACTTCATATGCTGATATCTGTAGTGTCAAATATTCTCATTTCAGCATCATTGACTTGGATTGATTCGGTGATATATTGCCGAAAACGTCAGATATTAAAACAGTCACATTTGCTTTGTCGTAACAGTTTATCTTTTGTTGGTCTCACATAGTTCCGTTGTGGTTCTTCATGTTCTTTAACTCACTCTGCGTATGGGAACAGTGCGATGAGAAGCATTGTATAAAACTGTAAAGACATCATTTCACAGAATCCTAGTGAACATCAAGCGTTTATGCCATCGACATTTTTACCAGTCTTACAAAGAAACGTTGGGCTACAGATCCAAGAATTGTTTTCCTATGTTGTTCAGAACCTAGGCATTCATTATCAGTGCTTTAGAGCCGTGTGGTCATCATGTCCACAGTGAAGTACCGCAGATCCATTGCCAGCCTTTTTTACTCAAACTAAAAATCCGATATTAGAGAACGCCATCATAGGTTGATCCATCTACAGTCAGGTTTTTTTTATTGCAGACTGAATTTCAAACAGGTGGAACTCTTTGACAGAAGAAGCAACTTAACTCTCTTCTACCCATACTTCTGTGTACAGGACAAAGTGAAGAGGTTCAGCTCCTTAAGTCGGTCTTCACAGGTGAGGCCGGCCATCGCAGGGATCATACGAGCCGCTGCCCTCTGAACTTTTTCTAGAAGATCAGCCGCCTGTTTACAGTTTTCTAATTTATACTTAAATAAGGATGTTTATAAGATGGTGGACGTGTCACCACTTATTTTCGCAAACTTTCTACTTGGAGTTCAGTGAGTCCTAAACCTCCGAGCTGACATCAATCGACAGTGAGCAGTGGTTTTCAAGTTATAACTGACTGTGACTAATAGGTCATTGTGGGTCAGTACTAACGGTGATGGGGTCCCATCAATATTGTAGGTGTTGCCATGTGTATGGGTGCCCCGAGTGCATGGTCACACACTTACCTGCATTGATAGGCATCAACCACTTCTCTGACCAGGTAAACAAGCTGTTCAGGTCTGCCTGGAGTGCCAGATGTTTGCATCGTCAGCGTAGAGAACCATAGGGGACTTCGTCATCTTTGGCAGCTCATTTACCTATATGAGAAACAGTAGGGGGCCCAGGACTGTGCCTTGTAGCACTTCACTCTCTACCGACCTCCAAATGGAGAGTTGAGAATTGATCCCAAATCTTTTTCTCCTACCAACAAGAAAGTCTCTTATCCATCGAGCAGACTGCCGATGATTCCGAAACTTTCCAGTTTGCGAAGCAACCTAGAGTGAGGTACTTTGTCGAACGCCTTGCTGAAGTCAATGAAAATGACATCTACATGTATCCTATCAGCTTTAGACTTAACCCAATTTTCTCCGATTGTAAGAAGATTTGTCAAGCAAGAGGAATTTCTACGAAAACCGTGCTGTGGACGAGACAATAGTGTCTCTCTCCAAATGAACTATGATGGCTTTCTTGATTACTCTTTCCAGGATTTTCACTACAGTACTGGTCAAACGTATCGGTCTGTAACTTGACGGCAGCTGCCTAGAACCTGCCTTGTGGATACGTGTTACTATAGCATCCTTTCAGTCATAAGGGAGAGTGCCTTTACTGAGAGACAGTCTGAATATAGAAGCCAATGGGCCGGCTACATAGAGTGCAAGCTCTCTGAGCAGCCTTGGGTGCAGCTCATTCGGTCCCGTTAATTTTTCTAAATCGAGAGTACTTAATGCCCGAAATACATCATTACGATCTACATTCACAGAGTTTATTCTGCTGGATATAAATGCTTCTACTGTTGAATAACTATCCAAAGAGGATTCCTGTGTGAAGACCTCAGCAAAATATCTAGCCATCGCTTCTGCTTTCTCCCTATCGTCCTCAATCAAACAGTCATTTTCTGTCCCATTGATCAGGGCGGGTATACTATGACAAGTCTTATTTCTATAGTTCATATGGGAAAACAACCTCTTCGGATGTTGCAAGGCAGCCTAGGTAAGACGCGTTTCAAAGCATATTTGAGACCATCGGATAGCACCAATACATTTATTGCGAGCTTCTTTGTAATGCTTCACTATTTCGAGTGTACGGAAGTGGGTGGCAATACTCCAACGCTTTTTTTACGTTGCAGTAAGATTCCGGTTTTCGTGGTTTATCCACGGAGGATGGTGTTTCTGTCCCCTCAGGACAGTTCACGGAATGAACAAGTGGGTCACTTGTGCATATAACTGTTTGAAGGAGCACCATACACCTTCAACTCAGGCTTCTGGATTGACTGTCCATCCTTCAAAGACGCTACCAGGTTAACAGCTTCCACATTTGCTTTCCATATGTTGGGTCTAGCTGGGGCATCGGCCTGGTACAAAACGTCTACTGTGAATCTGAAGACGATCACAGCGTGACCACTTTTGTCAATGGACGCTAGGAGACGGATGAAGCACACACCATCTGTATGTGAAAATACTAAGTCCAGAACTGATGGAGGATGCTGATGACCATGTCTGGTTGGTGTCCTAATGTGCTGTATAAAGGCTAAGGAAATTGATGGTCCCACTGAGCGGAGGTCTAACGAATTTCGTGATGCTTTTGTTGTTAGTCTATCCTAGTCAACTGATGGTGCTTTGAAATCTCCTACAACTAGACATCGGCATTTATCTGTCCAGAGGGTCAGCCTATTCAGGAGGAAGTTTGCCGCATCACATTCAGAGCTTCGATACATCACAATTACGTCAGCATCTCGCCCTTTGCTTTAAATTCAGCAGCGCAGCATTTCACATGTCCCACTTCCATGTGCAAAGACGGGATTTTGAAAAATTTCCCCGAGATTTTAACCCCGTGTTTTGCTTCACATTTACCCGTGGAGTGCCCGTGTTATTCCGATTTGCCCCTAGAAATGCCTCGCATTTTTCCCGCGTTTACCCTCGATTTGCACTATGTCTAAAAGATGGCTCCGCGTTTTGCCACACGTTTCTCCTCGAAAATGTTGAATGAGCAATTTATCGCTTTATTTTGAATCCTCTCTAACAAAATTTCAGACACGAGAGCCAAATCATGTCTTCCGTCACTACAGTGATATACAAACGGATATATATATATATATATATATATATATATATATATATATATATATATATATATATATATATATATAGAGAGAGAGAGAGAGAGAGAGAGAGAGAGAGAGAGGAAAATATGTTTCAACGGCTTGCAAATTAAATAACTCATGAATACTTCATCTGAAATCATGCAATCTATGCCTTGTGTTACTAAAAGACAAAACGAAATATTGTAGTTTCAAAATATATCAGGAGTGCCATTTTGGATTATCGCAAAATGTTACTATGGATTAGTCTCGAAGTCCAAGGTTCAATGCCTCTTCTACGAGCTTACATCAACCGGTTGACTTCTTCGTGCTCACTTCTACTACTCGCGAGACGGTTCCACATCGTAAGTGGGTGCTAATGCGGTAGATACACCCATTCGACTGTTGTAACTCAGGTAAACTCTACCGGTAGTTGGGTGTCGGTTAGATTTGGAAGGAACTGTCCGATACGTCATGGGACTGTGATAAAAGTGAACTCTCCACATGTCGCGTCGCCAAATAGTTTCTTTTTTATCAGTGGTGGAAGGGAGATAAGGAGAATGAAGAGACGACACGAGAGACAAGGAAGAAGTGATGAAAAAACAAAAGGAGAGGCAGTTGGTTGTTTCAGCAGAGTCCGTATTTCGACTGCATGGATGCGAACAACGCTTCGTTAGGCGGCCGATTAAGTTTTTCTTGAACCTGTCAACAGACGGAGTGGTAGCTCCCTCTGTGGGTAATGCGCTGTTAGAGACGCCAGCTAGACGCAGGAAAAGGTGTGAACGCATTGTGCTTTTGCTCTTCGAAGTGACTCTCCTTAGGTCTTCACGAGGATCGTAATGGTAGCCATTTGGTGAATTTCCACTGTTCCTGTGACTTAGATTCCATCGCTTACGAGTAAATGTTGGCCGGTTTGGTATGCATTGGGGTGTGCAGATTGCATCACTTGAGATGGTAGCCTATTTTTCGTGGAGACCCCAATGGACTTCAGAAGTTGCGGAGTCGTATTGATCCTAAGCGGCAAACTTCTGGACGGCAGGGATAGCTGTAAGTGTATGTTTCTGGACATGTTTACCTCACCAGAAGACAAACATTTACGCGGCCGCCCGGCCTATATGGTAGACCACGGCACCTGAAGGTTATCCATCGTGCATTCATACTGTGATACGTCCACTACATTTTACTGGTCGTGACGGAAAACTTGGACAAATATGTAAGCCACAAACAGGGAATTAGCACACCCAAGTTCAAACATAACTGCCGACAAGTAGAGATGATAAACGGCTGAAGGAATTGAAGTTACTTAATGGTAAATTGTTTACGGGGGATTTCCAGTCAGCCTCTGACAGTCAATGAGGTGTCATATCTGCAAAGAAGTCTTTAAACTTCATATGAGGCGGGACATAGTGCTCATTAGTGGCGGTGAGTCAAGAAGAACCCATGAGGATGAGGTGACGTGACGATCCCTTTTTGTAACACACCTTCAATCATGTTTACAATCTAAGGCTGAAGCACTGCAGAGACGTGGTGAGTTGCTGGCTGTAGCGGTATAAAATTAGCAGTATCCAATTTACGCGGTAATACTGGGACTTTCACATCACTTCAAGTCTTCTAGGGATGGTGCTCGATTATCCCGGAAGGATCTGATAAGTCTCACCGACGCACTATGCGGATAACTTGGCGGCATACTTGCACCATGAGCTGTCAAAAATTTTCCACCGGGCATCTCGCGTCAGATTGCCCCCTTTTGCCTGCTTCAATCGTTCAAATATGTCCGCCGAATGCATCGTGTACCTTCGCGCAGTTTGAAAAGGTTTTTGACCGATCGTTTTCCTAGGTAATAACAAGACGTCGGGAAAATAACACGTTGGGCGGAAGTCGGTAGTTGAATGCTCGAAAACACATTTCATTTCTGTTCGTAAGATAACAAGCTCCAATAACAGATACTTGAAATAGCTGAGTGAATCACTACCAACCAATTTACCCTCGCTTTTCTTTTCATTCTCCATTATAAACTGAGCCCTAACCCAGCCACAGTAGTCGAGAGCCTCTCGCTTTGGCGTGCCAGAAAGATGCGCCATAACCGAACAGACTTCTGGGGTTGGAA